ATTAATGCTTGCATGTATGTATGTATATATGTATGTTGTATATATGAATGTATGTACATATGTCGGCATGCATTCATGTATGTATGTATGTATGTATGCATGTAGGTATGTATTGGAAAAATTCTATTGCTGGCAGAATTCGTTGAAAGACATGCACTGATTAAATAGTCTTACCGCGACAAAAAGTTCGCCATGTGTATCACTGCAGATATGGCCACCAAGCCTATATATTTTCAGTTGAATTGGCGCTTTACAGACGCATTTGCTGCTTTTTGTACGCCAAGAAGTACAAGAATAGTTGCATCATTGATATGCAAGAACTGAATATATCGAATATATCTCTTGCTCTTATTCTTGTCTTCGATGAAACTTGTTCGCTTCTCTTAGTTTATTATACCAATATAAAGGCTTCCATAGGTATTCATATATTGCCTACCTTGAGTGCACAGGCGTTGTATATACTAGCAGGTGTATGCAGTGGCACATAGCACACTTGCGTAAGCGCGAGGGGCAGCGGCATCGCATCGGTGGACGAGCTCGATCACTGCAGTTTTTAAAAAGCTCATGTATATATATAGGGTGATCAATTATTTGTTTACTCATCAGGTGTACCATCGATTTTATATAAAAAATATGTATCTTTATTTTTATTTGACTCGTGTAGCTTGTTCCTCACATTCACTCTTTAGTAGCGAGCGTAGCGATGGGTGATCAGAAGTGTGACAGCTGTCCCTGTACGGATTGCACGTGCAAGAACTGTGAATGCAAACCTGGAAATGCGGGCTGCGACCCTTGCGCCGATTTCCAAAAGATGGGAAAGAAGCAGGAATCAATCTTTACCCTCGTTGTCACCTGCAAGTTCATTGGTATGTCCAATATCACCGTTGCCAGTCTGTACAACTCATGTTATGGCGTGGTTATGTGGTTATGTATGTCCCTTGGAACTGATGATCGCGTATATCACAGTGGGATGCGCCTCCCATCATTAATCACAGATGTGTGACTTTTTGTCTGTTTTCCGCCGTGTGCCTAACCGATGATAGGCGTTGCTAGTAGCCTCTCGACGTCATCTTGCGTAGTTTTCTTGTAGTTTAGATCTATAATTCAACATCGACATAGCGCTATTACCTTAAAGTTTTGATACAACGCCTATAGACAGTAATTTTCTTTTAGGTGGGGGATAGTGGTTGCGATGAACTAGTTATTCAAATCGAAAACTATTGTGATCGATCCGGCATGGATTTTGAAGTGTATCTTAGCCTCCTAAGAGTAGTAAGAAGGCTACGAATGTGCATACATGTTTCTCACCTACCTAACTTTTTGCATCAAATCGAGTTTTAGACGAGGTAGTTGTGGACCGCTTCCTCGATGCCTTCCGGCCGGTCGCAGAGTATTGTGACAAGAGTGAACCCACCACGACTACTTATAATCTCATAAGGTATTCACATCATGCATCCCCGCTTAGTTGAATGGCGCGCACTTGTGGTTGCTACTTTAAATTCACTCAACAGACCATTCGCATATCAGGACCCCGTTTCTGCAGCTAAATAATGTCTGAAGGAGCCTCTTTTTCACCTTCATTCCAAAATCCAGATACATGTTTTAAATCGCACTCCTTCTTTAGGTACATGACTGATCCCAAGGTATTGAGGGTTGTCGAGCGATATACCAACAAAAGTGCATATCTGGATACACATAAATCCTCCAAAAAGTTTCAAAGCATGCGATCTACACTGCAGAAGATGCAAGACGCGAACGAGGTGTGTTTTTTTTTATGGCGATAGAATAGGTGGGCCCAGTGTCCGTGATATACACCCTCTCTCAATAAATCTCACAGTCTTTTATCATGCAGATTCTCGCAGGCTCTTTGCAAATTTTATTTTTAGTTTTAGCTCGTCCGGTGGTCGCTTGCGAGCGTTTGACCCTTCCGGAAGACACACCTGTCACCTGCAAATGCGCACTGCTGTTGTATCGAGTCTTCTGCTGTATGCGCTGATTGATCTATGTGTGCTTCGCGGTCATATGTTTAGATATTCTAATGGCTTTATTACGTCTCTCATAGGTCGAAATTCAAGGTGAATCATACTCTGATACAGATGTCGGCTACGCTGTGAAGGAGAGTACTCCTACTGTGCCTGGTTTAGATCAGGTGGTGACTTTAATGCTTGATATTGACTTTAAAACGACAGAGGGAAAAGATACGGCCGTTGGAGGGCTGAGATCCTTGAGCGAATATGTGCGCAAGAACGAAAATAACGCTTTAACGTATAAATTACTGCAGGTATGTAGTTGGTTTTGTATTCGTGCATAACAATGTACGTACGTTTTGAAGCCACACATTACTGGCTCCCGGCTCTGCTACTTTGCTACCGGAGATGAGTGTTTTCATGAAATCATAGCTCCGACTATATCAAATGCTATTCTTCGATGTGGGAAAACTTTCAATGCGTCAATATGCACCTCAGATATATTAGCTAATGAGTTATGAATATGTTCATTATAGAGCGACAAGGATCCACTGCGTGTACTCATCTGGGAGCGATATGCCAGGGATATTGATCTGACCGAAGAACACAACAACAGTGAGCCATTCAAGGCTACTGGCAAAGTGTTCTCATCGGTATCCGAAAAAGACGTCGCAGTGGGGAAGTATGCGACCACATGCCTGGGTTACGTCAAACGATGATAGCTTTAGAAATAAATCTAATTTGTTCGGTTTTAGCATCAACCTTTGAAATATATCTGGGGTTGTAAACTCCCACTCATACATCAAGAGAGTGCGAGAGAGTAGAGCGAGAAGAAAAATGACAGAAGCTGAGTATTTCACAGCCATCTACTAGAGTTGGGTAATTTTATATTCAAACGCCCGATTTTTGTTCCCCGTGTATTGGCAACATTTACTGACCAGCTCTTCGGCTGTTCCTTGTGTGCTGGTTCTGTATGTCTGACCACTTCGAATCATTGCATTGAGTGAACATGACACGCTGGGTATGCAAACCTAGCATCAATTGAGAAGACCTCATGATTTGCAGATCCTTGCTACTTATATCACTCACAGTATTACTCTGTAGCTATCTGGTGCATGATATCAATCTCACTATGAAACACGGTGGTGTCGCACTCCTGCTGAGTCTCCGAAGAGTGATACATATGTATGTAGACTTATAAATAACCGGACTACTCATTCTCTTCATAAGGTGACCCATATTCTGTACCCACCGACCCGGTACTCAGAGAGAGTAGATAGATAGAGAGAGTATATAATTATTAGAATAGTGGACGTCGGACAATCTCTCTCTTTTATGTTATTTATGTAGAGACTACAGCTGTTTTTCAATGTTAGCAGAAACAACCTTGCGGCTATTATTTTGTTAGGGTTGATGATTTTTGGTTTTGCACAATTTAGGAGGCTGTGGTTTGTTCATCTGTTATTTCTTATTTCTTTATATTTGGTTGATAGGAGAGCTGTCACTTGTCAGCTGAGAGTGAGAGGCCCGACCGCCCGAGGGGATTTTATTCTTGTTGTGAATTGTTTTAAAAAAATAAAAAAAATATAAATAAATAAAAAGCGAGTCTAAAATCTGAATATCTGTACAATTATGCAGTCGCGGAGTGGCTATGTGGGATTGTGGACTATGTCATAACTCATTACAGCCCTCTAAATCAGACAAACTATGTTGTTGATGCTAACGCCAACTTCATCCACTTCCTCACGTATTACGTAAATAATAGCAAATGATAGAATGATATCAAATTTGGCCAAGAAGGCCGTGAAACCGACTCCCGCAGTAGCTGTTGTCCTATTAAGAGAACTAAAGAGCAAAATTGTCTCTATGCCGGGACATAGGTATGTACTCTCACAGCACAGAATCAAAGTCTGCGTAGAGAAATCGACTTGTAGAAAATGCTATAGCAAATGATCCGGTGCGGCGTCACACTTCAGGTTCCCTATTTTTTTTCAATGTATTCCGAAGATATGGCATAGAACTATTGGTGGTACTACAGCACGCTTTTTTGAACCACCAGTGAAATCTATAGGCATTGCAGATGGAATTAACATAGTACTACCTTAATTGACTTGGAATCTAGAAATTGGCAGAGAAGTACACTTGCGTCAAGTTCTCTATTAAAAGATTACGTTCAAATGTTGAGGAAAGGACTATCTTCTATACAAATAATCATCCAAGTGGTAGCCGAGTGACAGCCTTTCAAGATGCAACCGTGACACGAGTCTGCCTTTGCTTATCGCATGCCGCTTCGCAAATCTGCACAAACATACCCGCAAAACCATAATTAGTGTAAATTCAAAGAATTTAACGGCCTCAAGCCTCAATAATCTGGTTTGGATTAAGCCAAATACACGCGTAAATTTTATCGCTCTCTACACTCACCCGAGCATTTTGGTTTACATAGCGACTACGAAGTACTGCTCGTACAACGTGGGAAGGAGCCCAATAAGGGTGCCTGGAGTTTTCCCGGGGGATCGTTAGAACTTGGCGAGACTGTAGTGGAAGGGGCCATACGAGAGGTATTCGACTCAGAGGTCACAATCTCGTCTTCACAATTAATGTTGCTTGTGTTAAAGTGAGTACATGAATTCTTGTATTTTGAAGCATCAATTTCGATGCTGATTTATTTGAAGCTCTTGGTGCTTTGCATTGTTGGTGCAGCTGAAAGAAGAAACCGGGGTGCGATTAGATTCTGTCGAGCCATTTCACGCTACAGACGCAATCATTCCAAAACCAAGTGGTGAATCCGGGTGGGTGTTCCACTATTGCATAGTTCAATGCATGGGTATAGTCAAGCATACATTCAAGGTAAGGCGGGAATTGTGAGTGCTTCAAACTGAATATGAGCAAAATTTGTATACCAAAATACGTATATATACGAATACACACACACACACACACACACACACACAC